GGTAAATCATCGCAAAAAACACAATTTAAAAAGACACATCCTCTGTCCAACATCTTTAACTATCACTATTTTAATCAGAATCCTATAACAGAGCATATTAAATTTTTCCCCTTACCTACAAAACTTATTTCGTTGACGGATTAATATCCGGTTTATAGCCTCGTTTTCACAGAGTTCTTTTTCTAAAAACTTCTGTAAGAAAGATAACTCTTGTTTTGGAAAAAAACAGATCACAATTTCTTCGTTAAATTAACTCATTTAAAAATAGGATGAGTATTATTTTAAAATACGAACAACACAATTTCGAAGATTATTCAGGCGATGGTATCTTTTCATCAATATTTTCTCTAGGTTCAAAAATAATTCCAAAAGGAGCTAGCTTTGTTTCAAGGAACAAATCCCTCATTTTATCCGGGCCTAAAGCTATAGGATCTGGGAAAGAGTATAAGCGACGCAGTGAAACAATCTGACGAGTTGAAAGAATTACAGCTAATAAGAGAACTAAGTAACAGGAGCTTAGAACAAAGGAAAGGAAAAGGTTTTAAAGTTATAGGATAAAAATGATTGTCGCTCACGCTCAAAAAAATTTCGGTTCAGATATACAAAAATCATTAGGCTCTCTTCCTGGATTTCCATGGGCAAAATATCCTGGAGAAAAACATCTTCCCGGTCACAACTACACTGGTCCAGGTACTAGGTTAGATCTTCGATTAGACGAAAACGATAAACCAAAACCGCTGCGCTTAAACATGATATTTTATACAGAAATAAAGACATAAAGTTCAGACACGAAGCAGACAGACAAATGATAATCGAACTTGAAACTATTCGAAATCCAACTTTCAAAGAGAGAATGCAAAGGGCTCTAATCATAAAACTATTAAAAGCAAAGTGTTTGAAAAAGATGAAATATGGTCAGCCGATTCAATTAATATGCCAGTCGAAAGAGGATATAAATATTGCTTAACAGTTATAGATTTGTATACGAGATATGCTTGGGTAGAGAAGATAAGTACATAACCATTGAAGAATTAGAAAAATTCAATGAAATTTTAGATAAATTTGATGTAGAAATATCATCAATAAAAGTTAAAAATTCCTAGTTAAAAATAGTTGCTTAAAAAATATGAATAGAATTGAAATTTTAGACGATGAAACATTCATATCAAATGAACTTTTTTTCAGTATTATTAACCTTATCTCTCTTAGATTTGATACATTTAAAGGACATATTGAATTAGATGGAGAGATAATTCAAAACGGAGAACACAAACAAAAAACGGAATTTGTAGGCTTTAATGCCAAAACTTTTTGCAATTTCTTCGCAACTGTGGATGTAAAATCGGATGCTTCTGATTGGTATTTCCCAGGAAAAATCATTTTACGTAGAAACAATTTCAAAGAAATAAAAAGATCAAAAAAGGGTAGTGGTGTTACCCTACTCAAAAAGATAAATGAATATATCGGTATAAATTGTTATATACCAAGCGATGGATACTGCTTTGTAAAGTGCGTAAATCGTGTTTTAAACGAAGACTACACAAAAGAATTTCAAGATTTCATCAACAGTTTTTCAAAATCAAACAGAAAAGGAGTTATGACAACTGCTAGAATCTGTGAATTCAATAAGAAATTTAATACTTATTTTCAAATTTATATGCCCAAACATAGACATTTTCAACCAAAGAAAGTATCCGAGGAATTAGATTGGGTATTTTACTTACATAAATCACATTTCTGTCTCATTAGAAGAAAAAACAAAACCTTAGGCATTACAGAAATAGAAGATAATTACGATGAAAACGTATGGAGAACTTGTAACGATGATAATGCGGTAACACAAGTTTCACCTCTAAAACTAAATGTTTTTCCAACAATTCACGATGATTGTTTATACGCAAGGTATTGCGAAACCTATAGCGAAAAAGAACCGAATAAAGCCATTCCTTATTCTTGCACGTTAATTAATTTAGAAAAACTAAGAAAAATGTTAGAATAAAACACGACTTTCCAGATTTAAATCCCACTGATAGTGTTCCAGAAGAATTTTATAATAAATTAATGAATATAGTAGAAATATTTATGGGTACAGATTGTACCGATCAAATGTTGCAACGTTTAGGAAAAATAGATCATAAAAGATTAACATTTCTCATAACGGTAGCGGTTTTGATAACTGGATCGTGCTTAAATATGCGAAAAAACTAACGCAATGTCCACTAGTAACAGCTAGAGGCATTCTGTCTCTACCTTTAACTAATTCATTCACCGATGAATATTTACAGAAAAAATGGAAGACAAAAACAAATAATGGGCAACTCTAATTATTTGCAAAATATTAATTTCATATGTTACTATCAACATGAAAAATCTAGTTTGGTGGCATGGGGAAATTGATCTAATCTACCGGTGAATTTGAGAAAAATCACTGATATTAATATTGCAAAAATACACCGAAGATAATTGGGAATCTTTAAGACACGAATGGGAACCTTACGCTGAAAGATATGTTATGTCTTGGAGCTTGTTTGATTAAATATAACAAAGTTATGAAAGAAGTTGTATTCCAGAATATTTCTAATAATCTAACGGCTCCTTCTTTATCTTTAAAGGGTTAGTATTATTTATATCATTACCATAAAGAAATGGTTGAAGAAGAATGGTATGAAACTACTAGAATGGTTCCGAAACACACCGAAAAAGAAAACGTAGAAAAAGTTTACTCACATACACACCCTTTTATAAGATATTAAATCTATTAAAGGAGGAAGAGTTTCGGCAAATCGAAAGTCATTTGAAACCAATAAAATGGATGAAGTTTGTAATGTATTAAGTGAATACACAGAAATCGAGAGTAGTAATATAATTGATTTATTTAAAGAATATAGTAAAAGTAAAAAAGATAAAAAACTTAAAAAAATAAAATGTACTAAAATCGGGTTCAGAAATGGTTTCTGTTCAGAAGTTTTAACATCGGTCGATATTCAAGAAATAGTTAAAGCCGGTGGACGAATTATTAGAATATTAGATGGTATAGTATACGAAGAAAATTTTAAAACTCCACCATATAGAGATTATATTTTAATTTTGAGAGATCTAAGAAATAAATAAACAGATACTGATAGTTTACACATTTCGTCTAGCAATTGGGATAAATTAAATGAAGCTGGGTTGGTGTCCGAAAATGATTATTGTAAATGAAAGAATGATTAATTCTATATCAAATCGGTACAGTGAATGTTGGAAGACTGTAAATAATCTGACGTTTGTATTTATTGAAAAATCCACCGTTTATCAAATTGCAATGTATATTTATCACATCGATATCATTCTCGACATCAGCCTTGTGTGGTGCTAAAGTGGATTGCGTGTATATTTGTTTATCAAATCCTAGTAACGCATTCAATGAATTTTCTACGATGAAATCAACTTGACTATTATTTCTTAATATCAATTTTATTTTGTTCAGATTCAAATTACCTTCGAATTCAATATCGTTTTTACCACTTGCACTTCCTCCATATTCAGATAGGTATTCGTTAATGGCTATGTATTCGTAGCTTCCTGGTAGTAAACGTATGGATTTGAACGTAACTCCATTATCTGTTGATATTTTTATTTAGCTTTGTGTGGTGCTAAAGCGGATTGCGTGTATATTTGTTTATCAAATCCTAGTAAAGCATTCAATGAATTTTCTACGTTGAAATCAACTTGACTATTATTTCTTAATATCAATTTTTCCCTTCCCCGAAATCCATTATCTGTTGATAATTTTATTTGATTATTTTTTTTGTTGATATTTCTAATGGAATTTTAAACAGAGACATACTTTAATCCCAATTCATATTCTTGATTGCGATCAGTTCGTACTCATAATCTAGAGATAATTCAATTTCTGATTTATTTGAGGTGATAACGAATAGTTGTTCTTTATTTGACATTTTTAATCACGCTTTTATATTCATTTTTATCTATAATACCTTTCTCTACGAGTCTTTTAGTATACAATTCACTTCGTTAAATTGTCTGTGTGATCGATGTCCTTCCTTCATTGCCGCTAATATTACTCGTAATCTATTAAGTAGTTCCTCGTTGTTGTCGGATAAAAACGTCATACCTTGTCCAGATGCCACCATATCTTCGAAATCGTCTATATCTTGTGTGATTGGTGGATAATCTTCTGCATAATCACCCAGCTCCTCTTCATCACGTTCAATTACTCTTTTATATAGTTTAACTTCTTTCGATCTTCTTGTTTCGGGTCCCGACTTTCTTATTGCATCTAGAAATTTGGAGTATGCTACTAAATCCTTATATTCGCCAATACCAACAACATCCTCGCCATTCATTAAATCTATTAATCCTCTCGTTAATGTGTTTATTTAATCTTTTGTATCGATTATAAATTCGGTGGTATTTGGACTAAATCTTATTCTAAAACCATTGAACATTAGCACCGCTTCATCAACGATTGGTGAAATGCTCTTTGGTAAATCTGGGTCAGGGTTTGAAAAATAATGTTTTACATCATCTACTGTCCTAATTATGGTTGATGAGGTTCTATAGGAGGTGTGGGTTCTATAGGAGGTCTATATTCTAAAACTAATTTCTTTTTAATATCCTCTTGAGATTTTAATATTGGTTGAAATAGAGTTTGTAGATTTTCTGTTAATCCAAGTTGTTGTAATTTGTTTTTTTCAACTTGGGTCTTTATTTTATTCTTAGCTTTGATATATTCTTTATTTCTTTTTAAAATATTATTCCAATCACTACTCCAATAAAATTAACATATATCTCTTTCACCTGCGGGTTTTCTAGTATTAACGAATATATATCCATGATCATCTGGGTTTTTCCATTTACAAACCTTTTTAAATGCATCTCTGTCCATTCCGTGATTAATCGATTGAATGATTTGAGATAAATCTTTATCGTTTAATTAAAATAATAAAAAACGATTTGCATTTTTCTAATGAACATAGAATCCATCCCGTAAAAAGATGGGATTGGTATATGCAGTGACATTTGTGATGTCTTCTTTTCGTGAAGAATTCTTGTTGAACAGCTTGATTTCTTTGCGCTACGCAGTCGTCAAACAATATTAAATTCTTTCGATTGCTATCAGTATTAGACAAGTGTGAGAGCGATTAGTATAAAATTGAGTTTTTAGTTAAAGTTTAAGAAATATGTTTTTATTGTTTACAACGAGCGCCTGTGGTTTAAAGAAACAAGTGCCTTTGGTGCCTACTTTTTCCTGAAAAATAGTCCAGATTATATTAGTCACTTTAGTTTAGTGTCTTTCCTATTTGTCACAATTATCCAGCTTTGAAAGCAACATGGCGTGTTGAAGTAAGCTAAAAGTTTCACTGTGGATTTGTGCAGATAACAGGCATAATAAATCGGTAAACTTGATATTTTATATGTAATTTTGTGTATAAGATTCTTCTTTTAATGTTTATCATTGTAAAGTTTGATGTCATTGCATATTAATGTATATTTTGATCAAAAGTCATGTCTGATAGAATTTTCCCTTTCCCGCTACTCAGTCACGTGACCTGCTGGTACTTTCCATAAGTTGATAAGTCTATAGTAATAGATATTTCATAAGTGAATTTGTAATAAGTTTTGTTATATTTTGTAGTCAATCTGTGAACAACAACAACTTTACTCTAAGAAGTTAGACGTTAATAAAGTTATAAAGAGTACAGAATTTGTTTTCACTGAATTGTTGAACGTCTGATTACCTTCTGCACCCACATTTGATATTGACGATTTAATGTCCAGAGGAAGTCAAAGTTTATAGTTATATTAATGGTGGATCACTATATGGTACTGGTGTTGAACAAAGTTTAGTTATACCAATTTCCTGATGATAGAAACCTCTGAAGAAATAACCTGTTTAAATTTTTATTGTTAAATTTTAAATGTAAACATTTTGTAAAGAATATTTGTTATATATTGCATGTATTTAAAAGTAACTTGTAAGGTTTAATATTGCAATTAGTCCTGGTATTTGTAACAGTAAAAGCAATTTAATTATAATAATTCATCATATTTAACTTAAAGATCTTAATCATAGTAAAAATCATTTACATTGTACAGTATAATAATAACTTGTCATTTAATCTTCTAAGAGTTATTGCTCAGAGTAAAGGCCCTAGAACTCGTTACCAAGTCAAAAAAGAGCAAGAATTTGCCAAAGAAGTCAAACTCGCACAAAGAAACAAATTCAGTTATGATGTAGAATTGAAATGTCAGGAACTATCTTCATTAATGATAGAAGAGGTTGATGTATCGATCAGAAGGAAATGTTTTGTTGAATGGTCTAAAGTATTTGAGAAATATCTTGAAGCTCAAGATATATATGAAAAGTATTGCACAGATGAAGAGATCTTGCAAGACAGAACAAGAGCACAGACAAAAGATTATTGCAGTAAGTTTAAAGAAAAGTTACAGAATTGGATTTCACAAGATGAAGTACAGAATGAATCAGAGATCAGACCTGAAGATAGTGTATCCCAGAGAAGAAGTAGAAGTAGTAGGTCTATTCATTCTGTCAGTTCTTCTGTTAAAGATCAGATTACTAAAGCCCAGCTGGAAGTCCAGTCTGAAATACTGAAGGAGAGACATGTAGTACAACAGAAGAAATTAGAATTGAAATTTCAAGAAGAGCAATTAAATCTTCGAGAGAAAATAGCTGAAGTTTAAGCCAGAAGTAGAGTAATGGAAAGTTCTATTGGTAATAAGAAGACATCAAAGTTGAAAGATAAAAGTTAAATTATTGATGTTAAAGCAGAAAAGTCAGAAGAGAAGACAGTACCATCATCAGATGAAGTTATGTTAAATATCATCAGGGAAATGAAGAAACCTGATAGTGAGATTGATAAATTTGATGGTAATTTCAAAGATTATAGAAGATTTGTAAGACAATTCAAGACAAAGATTGAATCCAATACAGCTGATTTGAATTAAAGAATGACATATCTGGAGCAGTTTACTACTGGTCAAGCGCATAGTATTGTTGTTGGATTCTCTCATTTAGATGCCAGAATTGGATATGAAAAGGCAAAGAAAGAGCTTGAAGATCGTTGGGGCGATCCAGAAGCTATTGCACAGAATTACATGGATACAGCTTTAGAATGGCCTAACATCAAACCTGATAATGTAAAACTTTTAGATAAATATGCAATTTGTCTTGCAGACTGTGAAAATGCTGTGGAAAGTATTGATGCCATGAAGGTTTTAGAATTTCTAAAAACATTACAACAGTTAGTTCAAAAGTTGCCTTACAATATGCATGAAAAGTGGAGAAACATCAGATATGAGAAAAAAGAGAAAGGTATTCCAATCAAATTTCATGATCTGGTCAGTTTTGTGAAACGAGAGGCTAAGAAGGCTAATGATCCAACCTTTGGTAAACAGTAACAGTCCAAGTTATCAATCCAATAAACACAGTAAACAGTTCAACAGTAGAACTACCTCAGCTACTACCAATACTACAATTCCTGAAGAAAGGTTGCAGAATCATAAGTCAAGCAACACTTACCAAAAGTCAAATAATACTTACCAGAAACAAAATTTGTCCACTTCAGCTGCTAAGTACAGTCAACAAAGTCATAAACCACAAAGTCAAAATGTCAAAGCTGAAAAAGAAAAGAGTGCTTCTGGAATGTCTAAAGGTTGTTTATTTTGCAATGATGTCCTGCATACCATTGCTCATTGAAGAAAACTGGATGAAAAGCCAATTAATGAGAAGCTCCTTTTATTAAGAAACATGTCTGTCTGTTTTGGATGTCTAAAGCAAGGACACCAGAGTAAAGTTTGTACCAATATTTCAAAATGTTCTCTTTGTCAAAGAAAACATCCTACATTGTTGCATACTAATTTACCTTCTACTAGTTCTGAGTCCAATAATAGAGATAGAAATGTTGTTACTAGTTGTAGTTGTCCTGAGGAATTACCGTCCCATATGGGGGTCGGGGTAGTTGAAGGAGAATGTACTTTAGCCATTGTTTTAGTCAAAGTTAAGATTCCAAATAGTGACAAGTTTATATCGAATTATGCATTTCTAGATAGTGGAAGTAGTGTTTCTTTTGTCAGTTCTAATTTGTTGAAAAGTTTAGGTGTTACAGGAAAGAAGAAAATACTTACCTTAAATACTATGGGTCAACCATATACCTACAATACAGAAGTTGTTAAAGGGTTAACTTATGGTGATATCCATGAAAGTCAAACTATTTCTTTGCCACTATTATACAGGAAAGATAAAATGCCAGTGTCAAGAAGTCATATCCCTAAGAAGCAAGATATTTGTCAATGAAACCATCTTAAAGATATTGAAATACCGGAAAGCCAAGCAGACATAGGACTTCTTCTTGGAAATAATATTGCGGATGCATATGCACCTTTACAAGTTATTACAGGACCTCCAGATAGTCCCCATGCAACCAGAACCAGATTAGGATGGGTATTATGGAATGTTGTAAGGAAAGATGCAAGTAATAAGGATTCCTCACTAGTTGTGAACAGGGCAGAAGTAAAAGCTTTAGAAGAAATTGAAGTACTTAACAGAATTGATAAGGCAGTAAGGAATTCATATGAAATAGATTTTCCAGAACGAGCTGCTGATGAGAAGAAAGAGTTATCCCACGAAGATAAAAGATTTTTATACATGGTTGAAGAAGCCACTAAGTTTCAAAATAATCATTATGTTGTACCTTTACCATTCAAGTCTCCATTTCCTATAGTCACAGATAACAGTAATCAAGTATTACCAAGATTATATGGTGTTGAAAGTAAAATGCTAAAAAGTCAAAAGTTTTATCAAGATTACAAGACATTTATGGATGGTATTATTGAAAAGGGGTTTGCAGTAAAAGTTGAAGATGATGATATTAACAGTGAAGAAAGTCAAAATAGAAGATGATATCTACCACATCATGGAATTTATCATCCGCGCAAACCAGAAAAACTAAGGACAGTTTTTGATTGTTCTGCAAAATGTTATGGTCAATCTTTAAATGATTTATTGTTACAAGGTCCAGATCTTACAAATAGTATCATTGGAGTCTTGTTACGTTTTCGACAAGAGTTATTCTGTTTTATGGCCGATATTGATTGTATGTTTTATGAAGTAAAGTTACCTAGAGATCAGCAAGATTATTTAAGGTTTTATTGGTGGCCTAATGCTGATCTGAGTAAAGAACCAGAAGTTTTCCGAATGACCGTCCATATATTTGGAGCCGTTTCATCGCCAAGTTGTGCGAACTACGCCTTGAAGAGGATAGCCTATGACAACAATGATAATTGTTCTACTGAGGTTTATAACACTATTCTAAAGAATTTTTATGTTGATGATTGTTTGAAGAGTTTAAAGTCATCTTAGGGAGTTATTTCATTGTGTCATGATTTAAGAGAAATTCTTAGTAAGGGTGGTTTTAAGTTGAGAAAGTGGGTCAGTAATTGTAGAGAATTGTTAGAGTCATTGCCAGTAGAAGATAGAGCCAAAGAAGTACAAAATATAGATCTAGAGTATGATGTCTTGCCTGCTGAAAGAGCTTTAGGGATTCACTGGTCAGTAGAAAATGATAGTTTCGAATTTAAAATTAACATCAAGAATCATACTAATACCAGAAGAAATATTCTCCCTATAGTCAGTTCAATATATGATCCTCTTGGTTTTGTAGCACCACTGATCCTACCAGCTAAGATTCTTCTTCAAGATCTGTGTAGAAGTGGACAAGGATGGGACCAAGAAATTGAATCCAAACAAGTAAAAAGATGGCAAAACTGGTTGTCTGATCTTCCTTCATTAGAAACAGTTCAAATACCTCGTTGTTTCAAAACAACAGAGTTTAGTGATGTATTTTCTTGTGATTTACACAATTTTTCTGATGCTAGTGAAAAGGGCTATGGAACAGTATCCTATCTTCGTTTTGAGAATAATTGTGGTAAAGTTCATGTTTGTTTGGTAATGAGTAAGTCTAGAGTAGCAGCATTGAAATCTATGACCATCCCTAGAATGGAGCTTACTGCTGCCTTAATGTCTGTTAAATTGAGTAAAGTAATTATGTTAGAATTAGAGATTCCTATTGATAAAGTTTATTATTGGACAGATAGTATGTCAGTTATTAATTATATTAGTAATGAATCAACTCGTTTTCATACTTTTGTGTCGAACAGAGTTTCTGCTATACGAGCTAATTCCGAAGTTGACCAATGGAATCACATAGAAGGAAAGTTAAACCCAAGTGATTTGTCATCTAGAGGTACCACAGTTAAGAAACTAGCAGAAAGTCAATGGTTTGACGGACCTTCCTTTTTGAAAATGCCAGAGTCTGAGTGGCAAAAGTCCAGTTCTAAGATGAGTTGCTTGAGAATGATCCTGAAGTCAAGGCAGTGTCAAATGTTATAATTCCTGAGTCTAGCAGTATAGAAAAGTTCGTTGAATATTTTTCGTCCTGGAATAAACTGAAAAGAATGGTTGGTTGGTTACTGCAGTTTATAAAGTTCATAAAGTTTTTGGTTGACAAGAAGAAAGTGTTTAGAAGTGAATTAGAATCTACAGTATCAGAAAGTCAACTTACAGAAATGATAGAAAGGAAGATTAACAGTATAAAGAAGTCTGATGAATGGAAACAGTATAGTCAATTAGATTTGGATAATTTACAAGAAGCAGAGTCATGTATATTGAAGATTGAACAAAAGAGATGGTTTTCTGAAGAGTTAAAAGTTTTAGATAATCAGCAAAGATTAAAGATGAAGTCAAGTCGTATCAAACGTCTTGATCCTGTTTTAGTTAGTGGTCTGATTAGAGTTGGAGGAAGACTCCATCGTTCTTCACTCGAGGATAAAGTTAAACATCCTGTAATTCTACCAAAGCAGTCACATGTATCATCATTATTGGTTCAAGATGCTTACAAGACAGTGGGTCATATGGGAAGAAATGCAACTTTAATGGAACTACGCCACAAGTATTGGATACTTCAAGTTAATTCTATAGTCCGAAGAACCATTCGAAACTGTTTAGTTTGCTCTATTTACCAATCAAGAGTGGGAAGTCAAAAGATGGCTGATTTACCTATGGAAAGATTGATTCCAGATGAGCCACCATTCTCCAGAACGGGAGTTGATTATTTCGGACCGTTTTTCGTTAAAGTAGGCCGTAGCAATGTCAAACGATATGGTGTATTATTTACTTGTTTGGCTACTAGAGCTATCCATTTAGAGGTTGCACATTTTCTTGACACCAATTCATGTATTAATGCATTAAGGAGATTTGTATCTCGCAGGGGTTGTGTTAAATATATTAGGTCAGATAATGGCACAAATTTAGTTGGTTCAGAAAAAGAGTTAAGAGAAGAATTAAATAAGTGGAATAGTAAACAGATTAATGATTATTTATTACAAAAGAATATTGTATGGAAGTTTAACCCACCCACTGGATCGCATTTCGGTGGTGTGTGGGAACGACAAATTCGTTCAGTTAGAGAAGTTTTGTATGCCGTAATTAAGGAAACCACTCCTCATGCTTTAGATGATGAGGCATTGTTAACAGTATTTTGTGAGGTAGAAAGAATTGTAAACAGTCGTCCTATTACTAGTTTATCAGATGATCCAAGTGATTTGGATCCTATCACACCAAATCATTTACTTCAGTTACAACCAAATTATAGTTTTCCTCCTGGTATATTTGATAGAAAAGATACTTATTTTAAACGTAGGTGGAAACAAGTTCAGTTTATAGCTAATACCTTTTGGGATAGGTGGCTTAAAGAGTATTTGCCGTCCTTACAGGAACGGAAAAAATGGACTGAGATTGAAAGAAATTTGAAGGAATCAGATTTAGTCTTATTAGTTGATGATTCTCAACCAAGAGGAACTTGGTTAATGGGTCGAGTAGTTGAAACATTTCCAGATTTTAAGGGATATGTTAGATCAGTAAAAGTTAAAACAAAGTATTCTACACTTATAAGACCTGTTAGCAAGTTGTGCTTGATTATGGAATCATAAAAGCAGTTACGTAAAAGTTTATTATGTAAAGTTATAATGTAAAAAGTTATATCAATTAAAGTCATACTATTTAAAGTTATATCAGTTAAAGTTTATTACATGTGAAGTTATAAATTTTGTCAAGTCAAATAATTGTATTAATTTGTAAAGTCAAAGTCATAATTAAGCATTAGATTTATCTATTGTGTATCTAGTTGTAAAGTATAGGCAATTGTATTGTGTATGTGCTTAGTAATTAGTTAAAGTCATAAATTAGTAGTATATGTTTTTAATTGCTTCCACGAAGTTACGCAATTAGAGGGTCGGTATGTGAGAGCGATTAGTATAAAGTTGAGTATTTAGTTAAAGTTTAAGAAATGTGTTTTTATTGTTTACAACGAGCGCATGTGGTTTAAAGAAACAAGTGCCTTTGGTGCCTACTTTTTCCTGGAAAATAGTCCAGATTGTATTAGTCACTTTAGTTTAGTGTCTTTCCTATTTGTCACAATTATCCAGTTTTTAAAGCAACATGGCGTGTTGAAGTAAGCTAAAAGTTTCACTGTGGATTTGTGCAGATAACAGGCATAATAAATCGGTAAACTTGATATTTTATATGTAATTTTGTGTATAAGATTCTTCTTTTAATGTTTATCATTGTAAAGTTTGATGTCATTGCATATTAATGTATATTTTGATCAAAAGTCATGTCTGAATTTTCCCTTTCCCGCTACTCAGTTAGTTACGTGACCTGCTGGTACTTTCCATAAGTTTAAGTCTATAGTAATAGATATTTCATAAGTGAATTTGTAATAAGTTTTGTTATATTTTGTAGTCAATCTGTGAACAACAACAACTTTACTCTAAGAAGTTAGATGTTAATAAAGTTATAAAGAGTACAGAATTTGTTTTCACTGAATTGTTGAACGTCTGATTACCCACAACAAGTCTAGATCATTAACATTTTTCGTAAGAAAAACTTTTATATCCGTTGGATGCTTTGCTTCAATGTAGTTATCTATGATCTCTTTTCTTTCCACTTCTTCTTCGTTTTCTTTGTAATATGTCTTGAACATATTCTAAAGCTTTGAGAAATTGATAATACGATTGCTCCAGCAGCTGCACTACCAGCTATTGCACCCGCCGCGGTAAGACCAGCAAAAATCAAAGGTAGGGAAAATATACATCCGCCTTTTTTTACATTTGTATCAATTCTTTCTAAGTCTATATCATCTCTGACTTTACAATATTTGTATTTATCAATAAGTTTTTAAGTTATGTTGATTTTTTTACCATTGAAAGTTATTACAGTTGGGGAATCTGTTTCAAAAGCTTCTATTATTTTCATAACTAAAGTTTCTGGTTTCATTTTTAAGGGGGTATATTTTACTCAATTCTCTTATTCTTCTATCAGCTATTTTAATTAAATGTTTTGCTTCTTCGAGTAATAAACAATAACCGGTTACATCTCCTTTTGTTTTTTCAATAGGAATATTTATGTTTACTCCTGTTTTGAAAAGATCTTCTTGATGGGCTATTAGATCAAAACAGAAGATTGGATGATTAATTGCAAAATCTACATATTCCAACTGAGGTGGATTTCCAAATAATTCACACATGTTTTTTTAGTTTCATTATAATCCTTTGTGGTTGGATTAAATGCTAAAGGTTGGTTAGGATAATTATTGTTGTTTAATCTTACTTGAACTTTATGAATTATAGGATCTTGAGTTTGGTTTATTGCCACTCTGAAGACATTATTGTTATTCGTTTGACAATCTGGTAAGTTCTTGAAACCAAACATTTAATATCTTGCTGGTGTTAGTGATTGGCCATGTGGTGGATTCTCCAGTTAAAGTCATGATACCTACCGTATTACGATGAAGAAAAGCTATTTCAATATCTTTAGTTAATGAGTTTAATATTCTCGTTTCTACTTCAATTGATGGTGTTATAACGGGTATGAAAAGTTGGAGATTCGTTATTTCTAATTTTGCATTTGAAACATTCTCTCCAAAGAATATCTTATCATCATTGATTTCTCTTTGTAGATGAATTTTATATGGTAACCTTTCTGTGTTCCAACAGACCGAATAAAGGATATAATTTCCAATTTAAGTAATTTCCCCACCTATTATTCTCAACAGCATTATTATACTGAACTACTCGTTTTTCGAATCCATGATTAGCTGCTCGAGCTACTCTTTCTATTGTGTTTCGAGCAACAACTCTCACTCTAGCTAAATCAGCATCATTTGCAAGATTTCTTACCGGTTCTTTTAAAACACTTCCATCGCCAACATTGGGTATCCAACCTGAGACTGAATCGAAATCTTTAGGATATAAAACAGTACTGTTTTCAACATTGTGTCGAATTCCCCAGGGTGTTTAATTGTTTCTTTCGGATTTGAACCAAATTCCAAAATCATCTCGCTAAATAAAGATGGAAAGAAATTGTTTTCTAACGTTGTATTTGTTTGTGGAACTTGATTCTGAGTGGCGTCTTTATTTTGAAATCGCATCTGAAATAAGCATCGGAAAGAAGCAACCAATTCGATAATGAATTTATTTCGAAGGTAATTCTACCACCATCATTCAATTGGGATTTAGAACCAACAGTCGGTGAGATGATAATATAATCCTCTTTTTTCTTGTTAAATGAATAACGAATCGGATCGTAAAATCTAAAAATTGGATCTAATATTTTATTTGCCATTTTTAAGGTTTAGAAATTGAGTAGAAAATTGTGGTCTGTTTTTTTCCAAAAAAGAGTTATCTCCCTTTCTAGAAGTTTCTAGACTAAAAATAACATTATTTAAAACGAGGCTATTTATAAACCGGATGTTATGTTATTTCATATAAGGGTCTTTTTAATATGCTTTTTTGATGGAATTGATCGAAGGTGTTTTGGAGTAAGAATTTATGAAATGTAGGGTGTATAGGTCTTTTTGGTGTAAGAATTTATGAAATGTAGGGAGTTTAGGTCTTTTTTGTTGACCTTTCAATTTGGTCGCACTTTCCCATTTAATGAAATGGAATGGGGAGTCCCCGTGCGACCAAATTGAAAGGTCCTATACTACTAATAATAAAAATTTTATTAATGATACTAAACTACAACAAGAGGTAGCAGGTTTGATAAGTTTTATTCAAAAACAATTGGTCAACGTAGTGAACAAATCTGAGTTACACAATTTAATTTCATTAATATCTAAATTAGATGATAAGATTGCAAAACAAAAATTAGACGTTCAACAATTAATAGATAACATTCCAGATGAAAATGGAGATACATTTCAACAGGAATTAAATGCTCTGCTCTTCAGTGAATTACAAAAAGAACTAACAAATATTAAACAACAAATACAAAACATAGATGATAGCGAAATCAAAACCTATATTCAACAACAAATACAGAACATGGATGATAGCGAAATTAAAACCTATACTCAACAACAAATACAAAATATTGATGATAGTGTTATCCAACAACAGTTAACCACTATTAATAACGAAGTTTTAAAACAGGAAAAAAAATATAGCCGCATTAAAAAAGCATCTCAAAGAAGAAAATAAATCATATTTTTTCAATCTTCCATTTAGAAATTTGAGTGATAAAGATACTTCTACTACTGATAATATTGATAAATCAAAATTGTAAATATGGATTTACAGCAAATATAAGAGTATTTTCTGCTTCAGATTTTCCCTACCCCCATAATATATTTGATAATGATTATCCATCAGCTTTTACTTTCAAAGGAAAAATTGTAATTGAAATTATTTTCCCTATGTAGGTAGAAGTTGAATCAATATTCTTCAAACAAGTCTCACTTTCATTTACTCAATTAACGCTCGTAAAGTTCTTCAGTTTATTAAGGTACAGAAAATGTAGAAACTAAAGAATTAGAAATTGACGACGAAAACAACAAGGATGATCATTTATATGAAATTAAAACGAGTGGAAAATATATAGATGGGTTTAGAATGTTAATCATACCAGATAGAGAAGATTGTTTTTTTTTCATTGAGTGAATTTGATATGTTATTGGAGACGGAAACTCCACCATCAATGAATATTATTAGAAATCTAAAACCACAAAAAGTAGAAGGAAGGCTAATCAGTTATCAGTTTTTACGAGCCACAGACTTTGAATATGTGAAAATATATTTTGTTAATAATAGTTTTTTACACGAACGCGGAATTATCTCTTCAACTAATTTATTTAGTCTTCGAGATAAACAATTTATAATATTTTCATCAATAATTAAACGTAATGTTGGAACAGAAGTTGGGGGTATATATACCTGTAAATGTTATTTGGGCTGTTCTTAAGAACATTTCAATAATTAAAGGACAAATTGAATTAGATGGAGAGATAATTCAAGATGGAGGACACAAACAATATATGAATCTTCTTGGTTTCAATGCCAAAACTTTTCAGAAAATCTTTTCTAAAATGGATTCAGAATCTGATGCTTCTGATTGGTATTTTACAGGAAATACCATTTTACTTAAAGACAATTTTAAAGAAATAAAAAGATCAAAAGCTGGTAGAGGAACCAGTTAACTACTTAAAAAGATAAATGAATATAAAGGTAAAAATTGTTGTATACTTACAGATGGTAACTGTTTTATGAAATGTGTAAATCATGTTTTGAACAAAGATTTAACAAATGAATTTTCATTAATGATAGAAAAGGAGTAATGACAACTGCTAGAATTAATGAATAAAATAAGGAATGTAATACTTCATTTCAAATTTATACTCACAATAATAACAATTTACGACCTAGAGATGTAAACAGGGAATTAGATTCGGTTTTATGTATACATAACTCACAATTCTGTCTCATAAGAAGAAATGAAAACAGTTTAGGTATTGAAGAAATAGAAGAAAATTATGAACAGATATGGAAAACATGTAGAGATGATAATGTCGTAACACAAGTTTCACCTTTAAAACTAAATGTATTTTTAAATATGAGTGATGATATATAGTAGAAATATTTGTAGGTACAGATTGCATTGATCAAATGTTAAAGTATTTAGATCAATATGATCAAAAAAGATTAACATTAATTTCTCATAACGGTAGAGGTTTTGAAACTGGATCAAGGTTAAAACCACAATGTCCACTAGTATCAGCTAAACGCATTCTCTCTCTACCTTTAACTAATTCATTCACCGATGAAGATTTGCTGAAAAATGGAAAAGAAAAAAAATAACTAATTATCTGCAAAATATTAATTTCACATTATTCCTGAACATGAAACATCAAAGATCACTGATATCAATATTGTAAAATACACCGAAGATAACTGCGAATCTTTAAGACACGAATGGGAACCTTACGCGAAACGAGAGACCATATGTCTTGGAGCATGCTTGATAAAATACAATAAGGTTATGAAAGACGCTGTATTCCAAAATGTTTCCAATAATCTAACGGTTCCTTCTCTATCTTTAAAGGGTTGGTATTTTCTGCTAACAGAAAATCATTTGAAACGGACAAAATGGATGGAAAATGTAGTAAAGGAATACACAGAACTCGAGAGTAGTATTTCACAAAGTGAAACACGAAGTGATAATATAATTGATTTATTTAAAGCTTTTTAATGAGCAGAAATTCAGACCTAGAACGGCTATTTTAAAAGTCTGGTTTAAATATCCTACCAACATGTTCTTCCAACCTATACCAGCTAAAGATAAAATTACTTTTACGAACAGATTAGGTAAGAAGGAAACTAGCACTAAAATCCGGTTCAGAAATGGTTTCTGTTATGATGTTTTAACATCGGTCGATATTCAAGAAAAAGTTAAAGCAGGTGGTAAAATACTCAAGATATTAGATGGGATAGTATATGAAGAAAATTTTAAAACTCCACCATACAGAGAATTCATTTTAATTTTGAGAGAACTTAGAAATAGATATAAAGGAGAAGGTAATATTGTGGGTAGTAATTGTATGAAAATATTAGGTAATTCCTTGTATGGTAAATCTATTCAGAAGGATATAACTACATCGAGACATCTATGGAGTGAAGCAACATTTAAAACCAACTTCGATTCACATGTCAAAAACTATGAAAAATTAAATAAGACTCAATACATAGTTGAGATAGAAGAAGAAGAAAAAGAAATACCTGAAACTTAATCTACTACACGACTAACACCTTGTCATTTGAGATCATTCGTTTTATCTTACAGTAAGAAAATAATGAACAATTTTATTCACGTAATAGATGGATTTTATAAACCGGAAATATACTATGCAGATACTGATAGTTTACACATTTCATCTAGCAATTGGGAAAAATTAAATGGAGCTGGGTTGGTGTCCGAAAATGATTATTGTAAAGGAAAGAATGATTACGGTGATGGTGGAATTATATATGGTTTATATTTAGCACTAAAAGTTAAATACAATATTATTATAACTTCTGACGGTATTCTAAAAGAAAAGAAAACGTTTAAGGGTTAGTCTTGAGGATAAGATAAGCGTAGAAGATTATATTCGATTAACTAGCGGGCATGATGTGATGAATGAATTTAAGAAAAAATGTGAAAAAAGTATCACAAATGGAATAGTTATTCCAAAGGATGATGATAAACAAAAGAAAGTTTTTAGAGCTTATCTAAATCTCGTTAAGAGAAAGCCACCAAATAGTGAAGGAATTATGTATCCTTACAAAGATGGAAAAGAATTGAACATGGATGAAAACTTTGAATTTGATGATTTTGATTATCTAACTATTCAAGAAGAGAATGAAGAGTGTTTAATTACAGAATAAATTTAGTTCTTTTGTTTTAAATGAAGTTGAATTACAATTTCCTCATTACCAAAATCTATAAATCTATTTTTACCATCTTTGATTTCCAGATTTATATCTTTAATCATAAAGGAATTAAGTGGTAAATATGTTGTGTATGGAGGGGGATATTGATAGTTTACTTTCAAACTTTATTTCACATCAAAATCCATTCAAACTTTCCTTTACGAAAATGAATTCTTAACTTCGCATTATTTACAATATCAACTATGTCTACTTGACTTTGCATTCGTGAAAGATGTAAGTTCGACCACTGTATTCTTGAGAGTTGTAAAGTCAACTTCTGCATTCTTGAACGTTAACCATATAAGCTAACGTGAGTAGTATATGAGCTCATAGATTGGTCGCATTTTTCCCCATTCCATTTCATTCCCATTCCATTTCATTTCATGGGTAAAATGCGACCAATCTATGAGCTCCCAAAAAAAAAAGACCTAAATTCCTTACATTTCATAAATTCTTACAGCAAAACATCCTACATTTCATAAAACATCCTACATTTCATAAATTCTTACATTAAAAAAGACCAAAAAACACCTTCAATCAATTTCCTATATTCCATCAAAAAAAGCATATTAAAATAATGTAGAAGGGAGATAAGTCTTGTTTTGGGAAAATTTCTACTCAAATTTTAAACCTTAAAAATGGCAAATAAAATATTAGATCCAATTTTTAGATTATACGATCCGATTCGTTATTCGTTTAACAAGAAAAAAGAGGATTATATTATCATCTCACCGACTGTTGGTTCTAAATCCCAATTGAATGATGGTGGTGGTAGAATTACCTTCGAAATAAATTCATTATCGAATTGGTTGCTTCTTTCCGATGCTTATTTCAGATGTGATTTCAAAATTAAAGATGGAACTCAGAATCAAGCACCACAAACTAATACAACTTTAGAAAACAATTTCTTTCCATCTTTATTTAGCGAGATGGTTTTGGAAGCTGGTTCAAACCCGATAGAAACAATTAAACATCCTGGGGAATTCGACACAATGTTGAAAACAGTTTTATATCCTAAAGATTTCGATTCAGTCTCAGGTTGGATACCCGATGTTGGTGATGGAAGTGTTTTAAAAGAAACGGTAAGAAACGTTGCAAATGATGCCGATTTAGATAGATTTCGGGGAAGGGAAATGTACAAATGTACAGGCCTAGGGTGGAGCAGACACTTTATTTAGAATTTAGGATTAAAGGTCTTGATATTGGGTTTTCTTCTGTTCTTATTCTGATCTGAAATTAGAAAAAATAACTCGCCCGATGGGCGAGAAGTATAGTATCTGTCATGTACTGATTGTTTTTAGTTTACTATGAACAATATTATCATTTAAGTTCTTATTTTTTGAATATGCAACTATCATTTTCTGCTTATAGACATGGGGGAATTTCTCTTGAAGGCTCTTATAGTGGGCATGAACTATCTTGCTTGCTCGATTGCTGGTTGTATTAAACGGGACAACAAAGGGTGCTATGCCTACAATATGATGAATATTTAGTCCTATAGGTCTTGCTGTATTCAATGTCTCAATCCAATGGGCCTCCCTAGATTGACGGAATTTGGTAGTTTCATCTTCGGGCAAGTCAATTTCTATACGCTCAATTGGGATTAGGGTGAGATCGTCTATTGAATGGTCGTCGAGGTTGAAATGATTAGAAACAGGCTTGTCTTTCTTTAATTTGATGTCTGACCTATGAGCATTAAAGCGAGTTCGTAAATTATTCTTAGTTTCTCCTACATATTGTTTGGGGCATTTCTTGCATGAAATTAAATATATTACATTCGAATGTTCACATGTTAGATGTTCCTGGATCGGGTACCTTTTATTCGTAGAGTTGCTTACAAAATAATGAGTTTCTGATATAAAGGGACATGTTTTGCATCTACTGGACAAACATGGAGCACTTCTTAAACCTTGATGTACTTCGGCATAAAGTCTGTTTTTAGCTGCTATCTGTGCTAAGGTGGAATTTTTTATGTTTCGTAAAAATCGTTTAGAGTACCCACGCTCTTTCAGTTTTGAGAAAACAATCGTACAGGCTTGGTTGAAATCAGAAGATCTTGTACAAATTCGATGAAATCGTAAAACTTGTGACTTAATTATACCAGAAAAGGTATGTTTTGGGTGAAAGGAGCTCTTGTGCAAGAGTTGATGAGTATCAGTTTCTTTGAAATACACTCTTAATATCCAGTTTATTTGTTTCTGCTATGGAATCTCCCTTAAAGACTGTGGTATGCTTTTGTCACTCACGTTTGCGGTTAGTTTGATAGAAGGATGGTGGTTGTTGAGAATTTCAAAGAATTCCCAAAACTGTTCGATTGAATAAGTCCAAACCATAAAAATGTCATCCAAAAAGCGTCCGTAAAAAAGTGGGTCAAATATACAGAGGGGCAACACCTCACGTTCCCACTCCATTGCTGTCCCTGAAGTTTGTAAATATGTTTTACCATTAAATGTGAAATCGTTTCGACTAAGACAAATCTCTAAAAGCTGTAGAATTGCATCGTCGGGTCTGTTTGGATCTGGGTTTCTATTAAAAGCTTTACGAACTGCCGTTAAACCAGTAGTGTTATCGATATTGGTATACATAGAAGAAACGTCGATAGAAATTAAAATAGCATTAGAGGGAACTCGCAGATTTTTTATTTTATTGACAAAATCGGTTGTGTCTTTAAGGTAGGCGCGATGCTGGCATGCTAGAGGTAGTAAGAAATGATCAATGTATTCTGACACTGCATATGACTCACTACCACAGTCAGATATAATCGGGCGGCCTTTAGGGATTTTATTCGAGATAAACCACTCCTTGGTTGGATTCTTATGGATTTTAGGCAAAGTGTACAAATGTCTCTCGCGACAATCAGGTTTGGCAGACAGATAGTCATATTGTTTCTGTTTGAGATAACTAGTTTTGACTAAATCGGCAAGAATATTATTAATCATGTTAGCAGTTTCTTTGAAAATTGGTTTCCGTAAAATGGCATAATGTTTAGGATTATTCAGTTGATTCTCTGCTTCTGAAACGTAATCCTCCCTATTCAGAATGACACAACATGAACCTTTGTCACTCTTTTTAATAACAATGCTATCGTCTTTCTTAAGTAAGTTTAACGCTTCACGTTCCACTCGTGTGAGATTAGGCTTTTCGTGTGTTATGGAAAGGTTCACTGACTATTCATACTCGCAAATGCTTTCAATATTTCAGGATGGATGGCGGCCTGAGGGGGTGTCCACGTGGATTTAGGAATAAACATTGTTCTAGCACCACATGGCGAGTGGTTTCGAAAAAAATATGTGCAGCTAAGATTTCGTTGAAATCGTTCAATGGATGGTCGGAGATAATTCAAGTTAGCTATCTTTGGTGTTGGAATAAACTTAAGTCCACGGTCTAAGATTGAATGCTGAAGGTGTGTGAGAATTTTGCGGCTCAAGTTAACTACAGTTTGGCCTAGCGGTGGCCTCTCAGTATTTTTATCCCCAGTAATTAGTTTAAAGACTCGATGCTTGAAGCTGGTGTATCCAAAACAAATAGATGCTGTTTGCTGTTTCTGGAGACCAATGAAGATTATCAACTGTTTCGAATTCTTCTTCGTAGGGTGGTAAGATTGATGCGCTGTTGATACTGGACTCCATCATCATGTTGTTGAGAGTGCTGAGGTTCTGTTGTGCTTTCTTCGAGATTTTATTTGAAATGGGTATGCATGTGAAGAAGATCTTGGAGTTTGGGAAGGTTTTGTTGGCTGTGGCGATTAATTTCTCGGCTTGGTTAAAGGAGGTCTTTGGTATCTGATCACGGTTGTTGAGGCCTACATGAAGAATAATGGTAGTAGGTTTGGGATCATGGTCGTATGATTCCAGGATTGACTGTATGTGATGGATTTGGGCACCGGGGCAAGAATGCATTTCGGTGTCTGAACTGGTTTTGGTAATTCGATTCAGGTTAGATGATCCAATTATTAAGGTAGATTTCTTTAGAGCAGGTAGTTTCCATAATGATTTGTCCTTGGTTTGGTGATAATACGATTTGGTAGCGGATATAATGGTCGTCGACGGTGTGATTGGTACTGGTTTGGTAGTTGTTAGAATTGTAGCATTGGGAACGGACTGGGATCTGGTTCGAGGAGGGGAAGGTCTGGATACACGTCTCGACTTGGATGGAGACTGAGGGGTGGTTTGCTGGTCCAAAAACGCACAGAAGGAAGAAAGGTTGGCGGATCCTGGATCACGTGGTGAAGATTCAGATGGTGTGGAAGGGGAAGACGAGTCTGAAAGTGAAAAGAGAAGGGGTGTGCCCTCTCTACGAGAGCGTTTACCTATGTCTGCTGGACTAGGAGTAGGTGAACTTCGGGCTCGTTTAGGGGTTTGGTTCGGCAGCGTGGTGGCTCTAGATGGTGCAGGTGTAGTGTCCATTTCAGTTGGTAGAGATATGGTTACTCTGGTTTTTGTTTCGTTGATTGTTTGGTAGAATTTGGAGATTACAGCTTGAGTGAGACGTTTCCCATAGGAGCGACGGGCCCAGGACAGGGCACGAGAAATGATGCGGTCGACGGCAGGTGATGATAAAGACTTGGTACGAATGGTGGTCAGCTTCTTTTGAAGTGTGGTTTGGTAATGGTCTATCAGGACCTGCGTAACCTTACAGAGCCATGTCCGATTGAGGGATCTAATATTCGCGTCGACAGCTGATGTTTTTATTGCTGGGCGGATAAAACTATCCAACTCAGAGACTTTGCGTTTGAAGGTAAACGCTGGTTGGCCTTGCTGTTGAAGGGTAAGGATTGCCAAATGATGGAGGCACTGCAAAACTTGGAAGAACACCTTCACAAAGGGTTCTTCCCTCTTTATGAGTGGGGACTGGTTGGCGTCGGTGGGCTGGTAGTCGTTTCTGTTGTTGGTCAGGTCGATGGTTACCTCTTGATTGGTAGGCTGTGTTGTAGGTAGGTCGGCGATGGGGTGGGATATAGCTGGATGGGTTGGTTGGTGGTCGGCGATTGGTAGGTGGTAGAGGTCGATGGAAGACAGGGCCGTTGTAGGGTACGTGATATTGGTTTGGTTGACGATTAGTGTTTCTATTTCTGGCTTCTTGCCAGTGGTTGTTGTAGTTGGGGAGCATAATGAAAATAACTTGGGGTTAGAAGGGAATGTACAGCGGATGTAACAGGAGGAAACTGTATATGCTAGCGTGAAAATGTTGGGATCAAATTATGCAAATAAGTCAAACTGGGTTTGGGGATATATACAGCAAGATGAAAAATGCAAAAAAATATATATTTAGGTGATAAATAACGCTAACAATGATGTGAAAATTATAACAAGTAAAAAAAAAACTTACGCAATTGACACGAAGCGGTTTTCGAAATATTATCCTTTTTCAAGTGTCGAGAAAAGTTTCCTTAGGCTTACCATATATAATTCATCTACAAAGAGAAATCAACGACGATAAGATATTCTTTGGAGAGAATAATTCAGATGCAAAATTAGAAATAACGAATCTCCAACTTTTCATACCCGTAATAACACCATCAATTGAAGTAGAAACGAGAATATTCAACTCGTTAACTAAAGATATTGAAATAGCTTTTCTTCATCGTAATACGGTAGGTAGCATGACTTTAACTGGAGAATCCACCACATGGCCAATCACTAACACTATTAAACCAGCAAGATATTTAATGGTTGATTTCAAGAACTTACCAGATTCTCAAACGAATAACAATAATGTCTTTAGAGTGGCAATGAACCAAACTCAAAATCCTTTAATCCATAAAGTTCAAGTAAGATTAAACAACGATAATTATCCTAACCAACCTTTAACAAGTAATCCAACCACAAAGGATTATAATGAATTGTATAGAAACTATAAAAATATGTGTGAATTATTTGGAAATCTACCTCAGTTTGAATATGTAGATTTTGCAATTAATCATCCAATCTTCTGTTTTGATCTATCAGCTCACCAAGAAGATCTTTTCAAAACAGGAGTGAACATAAATATTCATATTGAAAAAACACAAGGAGATGTAACAGGTTATTGTTTATTATTGGAAGAAGCAAAACATTTAATTAAAATAGCAGATAGAAGAATGATAAGAATTGAGTAAAAAATACACCCTTAAAAATGAAAGTAGAAACTTTAGTTATGAATATAATAGAAGTTATTGAAACAGCTTCACCAACTGTTATAACTTTCAACGGTAAAAAAATCAGTATAACTAAAAAACTTATTATTAAATACAAATATTGTAAAATCAGAGACGATATAGAATTAGAAAGAATTGATACAAATGTAAAAAAAAGGTGGATTTTTACCTTTCCTTTTACCTTTAATATTTGGTGGTATTGCAGCGGCGGGTGCAGCTACTGGGGGAATATCTGCCGCAGTCAAAGCTGCCAACGCAAAGAAAGCAGCTGATGCTAAAGCCGCTGAAGAACGCAAACATAATTTAATAATGGAAAAAGAAGGCAAAGGTTCAGGAATGGTTGAAATCATAGGCACAATAAAAGAATTTGGAAAAAGATTTGGGGAAGAATCCATGTAAACTGTTAAACAAAGATTAAATAAATTAGTAGATAGTATTGACACGGGTGAAGTCAAAGTCAAACATAAGGGTAATGGAATATTTTTAAAAAATATACACACTGGAGAAGGAATATACCTTTCAAAGTATAAAGGAGAAGGAGTGATTTTTGGAACAAATTAAAATAATAAACAATGGGCAAAAAATTTAATCATTCAGAAATATTTCCTAATAACCCAATGCACATGTGTATATGCGGTAGTTCCGGTTCTGGGAAAACTCATCTCACTTTTAACATGTTGACAACACCAAACCTTTTAGATTTTGATTCTTTGTATATCTACACAACAACACCAGAGCAATCGTATTATCAATTTCTCAAAGCTTTAGAATATCTACCAAAGAAAGATGTTCAAGACCTATTTCAATATTACGAAGAAAATAAAGAAGAAGTGGAAATAAAAGATATCTTAGATAACTACATCGAAGGAAAGAATCCAACGGATATAAAAGGTGTTCTTATGAAAAATGTTAATGATCTAGACTTGTCTAATATTGATAGCAAACGAAAGAACTTAATATTGTTTGACGATTGTGTAGCGCAAAGAAATCAATTCTGTTGAACAAGAATTCTTCACGAAGGGAAGACATCACAAGTGTCACTGCATATACCAATCCCAATCTTTTTACGGGATGGATTCTATGTTTATTAGAAAAAATGCAAATTGTTTTTTTATTATTTGAATTAAACGATAAAGATTTATCTCAAATCATTCAGTCGATAAATCACGGAATGGACAGAGATGCATTTAAAAAGGTTTGAAAAACTCAATGGAAAACCCCAGGTGATCATGGATATATATTCGTTAATACTAGAAAACCTGCAGGTGAAAGAGTTATGACAGACATTTGTTAAATTTTATTTTTTAAAAAATGGATAATTGGAATAATATTTTAAAAAGAAATAAAGAATATATCAAAGCTAAGAATAAAATAAAGACCCAAGTTGAAAATAACAGATTACAACAACTCTGATTAACGGAAAATCTACAAACTCTATTTCAACCCATATTTAAATCTCAAGAGGATATTAAAAAGAGACTCATCCCTCCTATAGAACCCACACCTCCTATAGAACCTCATCAAATAGAATATCCCATTGATGGTATTATAATTAGAACATTAGAACATATAAAACGTTATTTTTCAAACCCTGACCCAGATTTACCAAAGAGCATTTCACCAATTGTTGATCATGATGGGTTATTGTTTAATGAATATGGAATAAAATTTAATAAATTTTACCCTTTATTCGAACTCGATAAAAAAGACTTTACATTTACATTTACAACAGAAGGATTAATAGATTTAATGAATGGGGGGGGGGGGGGATGTTGGTATAGCCGATTATAAGGATTTAGTAGCTTACTCAAAATTTCTAGATGCTTTAAGAACGTCGGGACCCGAAAAGCAGTTATATAAGAGCAATTGAACATAAAGATAAATACGAAGTTAACGAAGTGGGAGATTATGCAGAAGATTATACACCAATCATACAAGAAATAGACGAATTCGATGATATGGTGGCATCTGGAGAAGGTAAAACTTTTTTATCCGATAACAACGAAGAATTGCTTAATAGATTTTGAATAATATTAGCGGCAATGAAGGAAGGACATCGATCGCACAGACAATATAATGAAGAAAAAGGTATTATAGATAAAAATGATTATAAAAGCGTGATTAAAAATGTCAAATAAAGAACAACTATTCGTCATCATCTCAAATAAACCAGACATTAAAGTGTCTCTAGATTATGAGTACGAACTCGATCGCAATCAAGAATATGAATTGGGATTAAAGTATTTCTCTGATTACAATTCCATTAGAAATATAAACGAAAAAAATAATCAAATAAAAATATCAACAGATAATGGATTTCGGGGAAGGGAGGGTTTGATTCTCCCAAATGTACAGGCCTAGGGTGGAGCAGACACTTTATTTAGAAATTAGGATTAAGGGTCTTGATATTGGGTTTTCTTTTGTTCTTATTCTGATCTGAAATTAGAAAAAATAACGTATAGAAGTATAGTATCTGTTATCTGCTGATTGTTTTTAGTTAACTGTGAACAATAATATCATTTAAGTTCTTATTTTTTGAATATGCAACTATCATTTTCTGCTTATAGACATGGGGGAATTTCTCTTGATGGCTCTTATAATAGGCATGAACTATCTTGCTTGCTCGATTGCTGGTTGTATTAAATGGGACAACAAAGGGTGCTATGCCTACATTATGATGAATATTTAGTCCTATAGGTCTTGCTGTATTCAATGTCTCAATCCAATGGGCTTCCCTAGATGGACGGAATTTGGTAGTTTCATCTTCGGGCAAGTCAATTTCTATACGCTCAATTGGGATTAGGGCGACATCGTCTATTGAATGGTCGTCGAGGTTGAAATGATTAGAAACAGGCTTTCTTTAATTTGATGCCTGACCTATGAGCATTAAAGCGAGTTCGTAAATTATTCTTAGTTTCTCCTACATATTGTTTGGGGCATGAAATTAAATATATTACATTCGAATGTTCACATGTTAGATGTTCCTGGACCGGGTACCTTTTTTTTTCGTAGAGTTGCTTACAAAATAATGAGTTTCTGATATAAAGGGACATGTTTTGCATCTACTGGACAAACATGGAGCACTTCTTAAACCTGTAGGTACTTCGGCATAAAGTCTGTTTTTAGCTGCTATCTGTGCTAAGGTGGAATTTTTTATGTTTCGTAAAAATCGTTTAGAGTACCCACGCTCTTTTAGTTTTGAGAAAACAATCGTACAGGCTTGGTTGAAATCAGAAGATCTTGTACAAATTCGATTAAATCGTAAAACTTGTGACTTAATTATACCAGAAAAGGTATGTTTTGGGTGAAAGGAGCTCTTGTGCAAGAGTTGATGAGTATCAGTTTCTTTGAAATACACTTTAATATCCAGTTTATTTGTTTCTGCTATGGAATCTCCCTTAAAGACTGTGGTATCGATGCTTTTGTCACTCACGTTTGCGGCTAGTTTGATTGAAGGATGGTAGTTGTTGAGAATTTCAAAGAATTCCCAAAACTGTTCGATAGAATAAGTCCAAACCATAAAAATGTCATCCAAAAAGCGTCCGTAAAAAAGTGGGTCAAATGGACAGAGGGGCAACACCTCACGTTCCTACTCTGCCATGAAAAGGTTTGCGTACGAACGGGCGAATCGTTTGCCCATTGCTGTCCCTGAAGTTTGTAAATATGTTTTACCATTAAATGAAATCGTTACGACTAAGACAAATCTCTAAAAGCTGTAGAATTGCATCGTCGGGTCTGATTGGATCTGGGTTTCTATTAGAAGCTTTACGAACTGCCATTAAACCAGTAGTGTTATCGATATTGGTAAACATAGAAGAAACGTCGATAGAAATTAAAATAGCATTAGAGGGAACTCGAAGATTTTTTATTTTATTGACAAAATCGGTTGTGTCTTTAAGGTAGGCGCGATGTTGACATGCTAGAGGTAGTAAGAAATGATCAATGTATTCTGACACTGCATATGACTCACTACCACAGTCAGATATAATCGGGCGGCCTTTAGGGATTTTTTTCGAGATAAACCACTCCTTGGTTGGATTTTTATGGATTTTAGGCAAAGTGTACAAATGTCTCTCGCGACAATCAGGTTTGGCAGACAGATAGTCATATTGTTTCTGTTTGAGATAACTAGTTTTGACTAAATCGGCAAGAATATTGTTAATCATGTTAGCAGTTTCTTTGAAAATTGGTTTCGGTAAAATGGCATGTTTAGGATTATTCAGTTGATTATCTGCTTCTGAAACGTAATCCTCCCTATTCAGAATGACACAACATGAACCTTTGTCACTCTTTTTAATAACAATGCTATGTCTTTCTTAAGTAAGTTTAACGCTTCACGTTCCACTCGTGTGAGATTAGGCTTTTCGTGTGTTATGGATAGGTTCACTGTTTGGCTATTCATACTCGCAAATGCTTTCAATATTTCAGGATGGATGGCGGTCTGAGGGGGTGTCCACGTGGATTTAGGAATAAACATTGTTCTAGCACCACGTGGGGGGTGGTTTCGAAAAAAATATGTGCAGCTAAGATTTCGTTGAAATCGTTCAATGGATGGTCGGAGATAATTCAAGTTAGCTATCTTTGGTGTGGGAATAAATTTAAGTCCACAGTCTGAGATTGAATGCTGAAGGGGTGTGAGAATTTTGCGGCTCAAGTTAACTACAGTTTGGCCTAGCGGTGGCCTCTCAGTATTTTTATCCCCAGTGATTAGTTTAAAGACTTACTCGATGCTTGAAGCTGGTGTTTCCAAAACAAATAAATGCTGTTTGCTGTTTCTGGAGACCAATGAAGATTATCAACTGGTTCGAATTCTTCTTCGTAGGGTGGTAAGATTGATGCGCTGTTGATACTGGACTCCATCATCATGTTGTTGAGAGTGCTGAGGTTCTGTTGTGCTTTCTTCGAGATTTTATTTGAAATGGGTATACATTTGAAGAGGATCTTGGAGTTTGGGAAGGTTTTGTTGGCTGTGGCGATTAATTTCTCGGCTTGGTTAAAGGAGGTCTTTGGTAGCTGTTGTTGAGGCCTACATGAAGAATAATGGTAGTAGGTCTGGGATCATGATCGTATGATTCCAGGATTGACTGTATGTGATGGATTTGGGCACCGGGGCAAGAATGTATTTCAGTGTCTGAACTGGTTTTGGTAATTCGATTCAGGTTAGATTATCCAATTATTAAGGTAGATTTCTTTAGAGCAGGTAGCTTCCATAATGATTTGTCCTTGGTTTGGTGATAATACGGTTTGGTAGCGGATATAATGGTCGTCGACGGTGTGATTGGTACTGGTTTGGTAGTTGTTAGAATTGTAGCATTGGGAACGGACTGGGATCTGGTTCGAGGGGGGGGGGGGGGGGGGAGGTCTGGATACACGTCTCGACTTGGATGGAGACTGAGGGG